GGGGTCGGCGAACCCGGAACCGGGATAATATATGTACGTATATGTTTTGATATGTATTTCTATTCATGCATCATGCAAGAAAGGCTCGCTGATGCTCGCTGGTAATCTTGCAATTTTCTTTTAACCATGTTGATTCGTTTTGGGACACTGATGGACACAACATTTCACGAAATAACATGTTCAATAGGCATTGCTGCAGCTGGCATTGCTACTCGTACCGTCGGTACTTAGGCCGAACAGACGATGCCTACAAATCTGGTGAGACGCAGTGCCCCCCCCCCGGGCAATATGCGGCCTGACCCTGTGTATGTGTCTGTGTGTACGAATGTACATATATACGGGCTGAAATGTACATGTATGACATGTAATTGTAGAAGTACATCCGGAAAAGCGGTAATAAAAAAGAACCGAGCGCTAGTACTTCAATTCAATGGCGTGTCGCAAAAACACCAAACCCGGAAGCCATAGACCTGAGACCCAGAAAAGCAAGAAAAGCCAAACCTGTAGAAACCAGGAATCCGCATATGTCTCAAGGCATTCCAAAAAAAGCGCCAAATCTCAAAGGCATTCTCGCAGGAGGAAACGGCAAGGTCCGGAGACCTTCCCTAGCAACCACGATGGCACCTGTGTTCGTATCCCGGTAGCTGCCTGATCGATGATGCGAGACCCGGTGGGCTTAAGCGTAGTCTGCTCAGGGTTCTTATCCCAACGTGACGGGTGTGTCTTCTCTGACAAACTGGCGCCTGCCTGTCTCTGCCCAGAACAGCTGGGGCAGTCTATCCGTAAGAACCCAAGAGTTCCAAAAGTGTTTACCTGGCATAAGCCACCCGGCCGGGAAGGTCAGGATCCGGCTCCCACGCAGTGGGGTCTTGCAGCATGTCTGGTCCTCTACCGGCCGGTACAATGCAGATGGCCATGCCAGACCGAAGATCGACCCGGAGGCCTCAGCGAGGGGCTGGATGCGTCCATGTCCAAGACACCGTCTCCGGGGAAGTCCTGCTGCAGCGATCAACGCGGCTTCATTCAGTCACGAGTGGACTGCAGCGGCGCAGGGTGGCTTGTGCACTGCAGGACAGTTGAAGAGAACAACAACCTTGTGAGCGACCCAGGATGGACACGCAACAAGTACCGCCAGCTGTCTGGCTGGTTGAGGTGATGCCGGAAAGATCTCATCGAAACTGTCAGCTTGGCTGGCATCACGGCTGCTGGCGATAATGACAGCTGCGAGGGGTCGTTCTGTACCGCCACGGGATGTGCTGGGAAAGCGGAGTACAGTGCAGTACCCGGTATAACCCTGTGGCTTGGGATGCAACTGTTGTAGAGGTATCGATCTACCCCTGGGGCACCATCCGTGATAACGTCCAAACAATGTTGCAACTCATCGTAGGGTTTGCAGCGAACCGAGACCGGGACAGGTCGGACATATGGAGTGGAAACAATACACCCCGACCTCCGAAGTGAAGGTGGTACACTCCTCCACCGGCCGGGACTGTGGGCTCTCTTGTCCTGGACTTCAGGTGCAGTAAAAACGGCGAGGTGTCATCCCGCGTGGCCAGGGCGCCGGAGCGGCAATCGCACAACGAAAGGGCACAGAATCCAAGAACCCAGCAAACAAATGCCTCCACAGCAGTGGTGCCTAGGGCCGATCCCCGCTCGGACCGCTCGGGCTGTCGTGAGTGAGGGACCCCAGGTGTCCCGCCAGCACTCCTGAGCGGTGGGGCTTTGCACCTGGGTTGTTGCGAGATCCTACGAAAAGGTGGTTGATAGGAACCCCAGTTGCCTAAAGAGCATACCGAGCAGAATCTGAGTAATGCGCAGTAGGGCCATGACTCCGATTGAGCCTGCTTGGTCTTCGACCCAATCAATACCGACATGGGAGGCACTGCTCGAGAAGGCAAGGCAGCCTGTCAACACTGAGACAAGTGTCCGACGACGCAAGCGAGGCAACTTGAAGGTAGTGTTGGCACATCTTCAAGTTTGCGGAGGGCCTGGTGGTTCACATAATCCCTAACAGCCGCGTCAACTCTCCAACAAAGACAGCTTGGACAAGCCGTCAAGGTCAACAGCGGGCGGGTTCTCGCCAGCCGCACAGGAAGACGCAAACGATAGTACAGGCCGTGAGGAAGAAGGTCACCCAAGCCCCACGTGACCTGGGAGCACTGCCATTAGGGCTTGGCTCGACAAACATCCAGGTCCTACCATGGGCCTGGCTCGCACCATTCGTTCCGGGTGGTGTGGCCATGGGCCCTACCCCCGCTCCCGGTGCAACGGCAGCTGCCGCCGCCCTTGCCGCGTGGAGGGCACCCGCGAAGTAGCCGTAGCAGCCATCTCCGGCTCCTTTGTCTCTGCAAAGCTCTGTGCGGCGACACGCCAAGCTTCCTCTGCACTGGCGCGCTCTGCTGCGATCCTGGCCAGATCGGCTTCGTAGCTCCTTTTCTGCTTGTTGAGGGAGTTCCTCGAGTATTCCTCGGAGGCCTTCCACTGCTCCTTCCGGAACTCTTCCTCCTCCGCCAGCTGTCGGAGTCTGGTGTCCGACTTCAGCACCTTCTGGATGTCTCTCACGGTGCCTTGGCCGCCATGGTCCGTGATGACATCCTCGGGCTGGGCCACAGGTTGCCTCCCTCCCTTGCCAGTTCCCTTCGTCAAAAACGGGTCGTACCGGAGAGTCTGTGGCGCCCGCGGTGTATCCCAGCCCTGGGAGTCGCTTGCCTGAGCTCTCTGAACCAGGATCTCGAGTGATGGGACGCGGGGCCAAGTCCGCACGTTCATGAACAGGAAGGCGGGCTTTATGGCGCTGTCGGCGCCTACGATGCCAGGTCGGACTGTTGCCGACCGTCGTACCTTCTACCGGTCCTGGGGCTCTGGCAATGCTCTAGGCTCGATCCAAAACCCTCATGTGTACATGTACATCATATATGTGGTAGTTATTGATTTGTTTGTTCATTCGTGGATATACACTGCGTGAATACTGACTCCATGATATGGGTTGGGTGTCGAGCCTTTTTGGTTCCGTTGCTTCTTTGGTGTTCCGCTAGCGCACTCTTCTTTTTTGCAAGTTTAGTTGTCGTCGCAGCTGAAAAATATAATGTTGGCATGTAGTGCAACATGTGCATGATTGTGCGCCTGTCCTTCATGACTTCACAGTCTACACGCTATATGCATATGTATAATGATTATGCATCAAACACACCTTCTTTCAAGCTTTCCAACATCAGTGACAAGTTTTTGCGTAGAAACATGTCGTACATGACATGTGCCTTCGACAGAGTGCGCCATACTTCCGAGGTTGATCATTGAGGATGCGTTGGACCAGAGCAGGTGCGGAGGGCCAGCCGAGCAGTGCCAAATTTTGTAACTCAAGGGTCCCGGGTTCCAAATTCGGTGAACTTGTTTTCTTCGGTTTGCCGTGGTGGTTCTTGTTACACAATGTGTCAAGGAAATGCCGACGGTTCGCATTTTTGCAATGCCCTGAGACGCATCAAATGCTGAGGCAGCTCACCAAGCTGAGCATGTCGCACAACCCCTTGGGCGTAATGGGCCTGCACGCGCCTTACTTTTTTGCCCCCAATTTCACCCATGAAGGCCTTTGTCAAAGAGCGTTCTGCGAGAAGGCGATGCCTGCTGCGGCTGCTTGCAAGACCGCACTCCGGCTTGATTGCCTTCGAAATCGAGAACTGCACCCTGGACTGATCTGGGAAAAGGAGGGAGCGGGGAAAAAAGTTCTCCCCCTCGCCTTCGCTCCCAGGCTTCAAAGGAGAGCTCCTGGCCTCCGTGGAAGGGATACAGGCCTTGTCTCGTCACCACGATCTCTCTCTCGGTAGTTGCAATGGGATGAGAGGTCTTTACCTACACGAACCCCGGTGGGCACTATTGCTTGGACCTGGAGAGGCTGGGCTTACAATGGGAGGCCTGCAGAAACGGAATCCCGCCTCCGGTCAGGCCGTATCATCGATCTCTTCTTCGGACTCTCTACAAGTGACTTGCTCTAACATTGGGAGTCCCAGCACACCATATAGTCGGCAATGTTGTGCCAGGGTTGGTGAACGATTCCAGCTGAAGCCTGTCACCTTCTCAGAGGTTTCGACCAAAGCTTCGGCCCCCCCCTCCTTGCTCTGAGGCTGACACTTTCTCCAACGTCACATTCAGCCCTGGCGCCTTCTCCTTGCCCTCTCAGCCTGCATCTCACCTGGGGGATCAGGGATCCCGGCGCCCCCGCCTCCACCGTCGGCCTACCATTCCAGGCGTGATGCTGGAGTTTGGCCAGTGCCAACATCAGGACTTTCACAAGCCAAGCGGCCAAGCACGCGCGAAAAGAAGAAAAAAGGGTGCGCGCAACTGCGGGCAGCCGGGTAGCTTTGAAATTGCCAGGACGTTTGGAAGTCAACTTCAGCATCGAGAAGGCTGGCGCATCAGACCTGAGCCTCTGGCTCCGAGGACTCTCCCCTGTCGGTCCTGGGATGTCTAGGCTCAGTTTGAGTCGTTGGGGGCTTGGTGTAAGGAAAACACGCATTCCTTGGGGGTGTGCCTATGCCTATGCCCGAATTCGGTGAGGATATGCACGGGTGTGCCCGTGCATTTTCAAACATACAGACACATGCCTGCAACGCTGCTCGGCAGAAGGGTTACGTTTGCCCCGCAGCAGGCCATGCAACAGGCGGTCCAAGGCGTGGCCGAGGAGTCGAAAAAAAGAGAGTCAAAAAGAGGATTTCTTTCCGCGCGGCAGCAGACGATTTTTGGGGCAGGAAAACTTTGGTGAGGTCCTTGTCCGGTACAATGAGGCCTCGGGCACTTCGTCTGTTTTGCGTAAGGGATGCTGAGGATTGCTCTCTCATTTCACAGTTCCAAAGCGCAGGTCATGCGATTTACGCCACACTTCCGTGATGCTGGCTCGTGCAGAAAAACGTGCTGACGAACCTGCCTTGTCCTGCTGCCGTCATCATGGGTGGCAGGCAAACTCATTCCACTGCTTGCTCAGCCTCGCGCCTATCTCAGAAGCAGCTTGTGGCCGGGGTTTTGGCTTGGTCATCGAGGTGGCGGCTTCTAGAAGGACACGAGCAGGACGAAGACTTCAACTTGCAGAGTCACAGAAACAGGGGTAGGTCGGAAGATGGGTTCGTGCCGGTTGCTACGTTATCAAAGCACGCTCAGCCGATCGAGCGAGCGGCAAGGACTACACAGAAGTTTGTACCGGCTCTCATTGTCCTGCCGGGACACGGAAGCGGGTGGGTTTTGAGGAGCAGCTTGCCATGCTAGCGGCACTGGGTAGGGCCGTTGCCTCGGTATGTCTCTTTGAGAATGCTCGGCACTTCTTTGAGCTCATGCCAAAAAACGGAAACAGACGGAGACATCTTGTTTGAGGATTTCATCTTCACCAGCACCCACCTTCGTCAGCTTTGTGCCTGTCGGGCCATGTTGGGCTTTCGCCTCGATCGAATGCAGAGCGCCAGCGCTCCAACCGCTTATGAGACTGCTATGACTGCGCCCCGAGAGGGACCACGGTGGCGCGGTTGCTTCCCACCTTGGTCGGAGGAAAGTTTGCCCGCAGCATGGCTGGGGCCCCAAAGAGGAGCTCTCTGCACATGTGGGGCCTTGGGGCTGGTGCGGCGGCAGGTCCTGCGCTGCGTGGACAATCTCAGCGAGTTCGTGAAGATGCTGACTTTGTGCAAGGACGGAAGTGACGATTGCCAGAAAGCCAGATACGCATGTTTAACATTTCGGATCCTGTGTGGCGTGATGGCATGTGATCCCTTGCGGTCTCATGAGGGTTGGGCCTACCGCGAGTTGTGTGTTGGTCATGTGAATGTGCGAAGCCAATTCTACGTGCACACAATCCTCTATGTACTGTTGAAACTGCGTGACACGGAATCGTTTGGTTGTTTTGCCGCAGTAACGCCCGCTTGCCTTCGACTTCTGTGATTATGATTCGGCAGATTCACTCCGATCCCGCTTGGCATGCACGGGTGTGGAATGCAATCCGAAGGGGCAGATTTGCCCCATTGCAGAACCCCGAGCGGCAGGTGTGAAACTGTGGAACTCAGGACATTTGCCCAAAGCGATGGATGTGCCGCAATCCCGCTTGACTCGCATGGCAGCATGCGACACAGAAATGCAGAGGATAAATCAGCACATGTGGTGGGTTGTCCAAATGTAGCTCTACACCAGAGCAAAATGACACTTGTGCATGCAGCTGAGGGGGGGATACGCTGCAGCGTTGTCAGGTTTGGATTCAAAGGGGCGCTCTCAAATTCGAAGACAGGCCCCCAAAGTTTCAATCTGCGACTTGGATCCTGTACCCTCGATTCTTTCGGTTGAAACTACACAATCTGAGGTCTGCTTGGCTGCCTAAATTGTGAGGTGCACAGAGATGCAGTCTCTCCCGCCCGATATTTGGCAAAATAAGCCAGGTTTGTTCACCCCCTTTTCCTCTTGCTTTCTGGTGTATTCCGAAGTCATGCAGCCTTTTTTCTTCTTTCTGGCTTCCTGGGGCCACCCAGACCACCAGGCCCAGTCCTTCGTGTCCAACAATCATTGATGCCCTTGTCCTGCCTTTTTTAAATGGACATGAAAACGGGTAGATTAGGTTGTTGAGGGTTCAGATCCGGATCGAACAATCTAGATGACATGGAGGCTGAGGTTTTCAGTATTTAGGATCCAGGATTAAGGACCCAGGTTCGTGGACTTGTCGAGGTTTGAGCATCAGATCGCGCCAGAATTCCAAAGCCCGAACCGCCAAATTTTCGGGAACCCAGCAATCCTGTCCTTGAAACAGTCTCGACGCGGCAAGTTGGCAAGCCGACAGCCTCAAGCTGGCGTGGGACCAGATCATGGAGAAGAATGGCCTTTCCCTCTAAGCCCTAAACCGCTGGGCGGCGCGGGCAAAACTTCCTGATGTGCTTGGCATTTGACTGTTAGCTGCCAGCGGCCAGCGCGGCACAGTGGCCGGGACAGTGGAGGACTTTTCCGAGAGACACTGCTCATTCGTCAACTTGGATGTCACAATGGTTGTGGCATCTCATGCTGAAGAGCGTGTTGTGTTCCACGAGCATCATTTGAAGTTGCTGTTGCTGTTCGCAGTGTTAAGGGGTCTATGATGCTCAAAGATTGCTTTGCAGTTGCTGGGTGTCTTTAGCCAGTGTCCTCCGGAATATCGCAACCCTCCTCAGTCATGGCCATGAGTACGGCACAGTTTGATACTCACAGTCGATGCATCCTGCTGCGAGCCTTCCCGTTAGCATGTTGGGCTTGTTCAGACATCCTAGTTCCTCGCCGTATAGGTGGCGGTCTTCCTCCATCAGTTCCTGCAAGGAATTCGAGGCCGTGTTATACAATATCAGACGCGACAAACACGATAAGGTCAAAGCGCCACCGAAAAGGTAGACACGACCAGCAGGAGCCACCAAAAAGTAGACGCGACAGGATCAAGCTCAAGCCCAATTTGACAACAGACCCCAAAGGCCTTAAGCCCTAAACCCTAAAGGAAAGCCGAGTCGTGAGAGCGTAAAGGAAAGCCGTCCACACGTTGAACTCTGTAGTTGTTTGAATCTACGCTAGTTTTGCTAATGTTGATCTCGGATGAGTGTGTGGACCCGCTTGGGCAGGTCAGTGTTGTGCACTGCCGTACAGCATGCAGCCAGGGCTCCGGTTGAGGGTGTTACTTTGGGTTGGTACTGGGACTTTTCTTGTTTGGAAGGCTGCTGTTGTTTGGCGCCTGGGAGCCTCTCTTGTGGTTTATAGAGTTGGGGGATTAGCAAGTGCTGCTATTGTGTGAGTTGGCTCCCGTCTTCATGCCTCAGCCAGATTGGCCTTTCGAACTCCTTCGGGCTGACGGAAAAGGGGCGATTAAAAACCTAAAGGCTCCAACGGCTCAAACGGCTTACGACCTCCAGACTACGATACCAGGTGCCCAAAGTCTGGGCAAGTCCGTTGGGCTCGCTGCTTTTCTGTTGAGACTGTCTCAAAACAGTCTGACAACAGGCTCACTTGATTTTTTGGACCGTAGCGGGAAGCATGGAAGTTTTAGCCGGTTTGATGTGGTTTTAAAGTGGGGTTAGGGTGCTGAACATGGCACACTTCGATTCTGCTCGAAACATACCCGATTCTCTGGCCTACACATGACTCGCGCTCTTGCCCATTTATATGTCTTTATTGTCCCTTTTTTTCCTTTTATCTTATTTGCGTTTCTTTTTCCCTATTTGCCTATTATTTTTTGCCTCAGTTGCCCTTCATTTTCCGTGTTTGGCCTTTATTTTTCTTTCTTTGGTCCGTATTTTTCCTTATTTGCCTGTTATTTTTCCTGCTTTGCCCCTTATTTCTCCTTCTTTGCTTTTTATTTTTCCTTATTTGCCTTTTTTCACCTTATTTGCCCTTCATTTTCCCTTTTTGTCTCTTTTTTTCCTTATTTGCCAGCTTTTTTCCTCATTTGCACCGAAAATTTTTTCCTTGTTAGCACTTTATTTTTTTACTTGCCTTTCATTTTCCCTGATTACTTTTTCCTTATTTGCTGCTTATTTCTCTCATTTGCAATTCATTTTTTGCCCTTTA